AGACTAAAACTATGCACGAAGTGTTGTTCTGTACTAAGATGTCTCTTGTATGTTGGTGTTGTGAGAGTATATGTCTTGAGTTGTGTATGTTGTCTCTTTCCTTTAGTATATTGCCTAAAAAGAAAATTTCTAAGGATCTGAGGGATTTGCGGAAAGAGTTTTTTTTTTTTTTAATTTATATACTGTATATATACTGTATAATATATTTATTAATAAGAATTAATAGATAGTACAAAATTTTTACAAAAAATAATTATTATAAAACTCTTTCTGTTAATCCTTTAACTATATATAAAAAAGATGTTTACAAGAAGTTTTATATTTCCTTACTAATAAAGCCTTTATACTTTCATTAAAACAATTTGAAGCTTGTCTTTTCTTTACATATTTATTCTACACTTTCTTACTTGTTTATAAACTCCTTTAAATAAAAACTTGGATCTTTAGTAATCTGTAAAGACTCAAATATACACTTTCTCTAATAAGAGCAAAAAATTCTAAGAAGTAAAAGAATTGACAAGTAAAGTATCATCTTATAGAGCTAGAAGCAACAAAAAATTGAGATTTTGTTGACAGGAGAAGATATATTATTCACCTTCTCACATACTGTCTTGTATTCTCTTAAAGAATCTATTGTTTTTTATAGTTTTCTTGAGTGATATTACCTATTTCAGTTTGACCCTGAATTTATGATAGCACAATATTACCTGATATCTGATTAGTTGATATGAAATATGTTAGTAACTAAATATAAACAAGCTTCTACTGATTATTTCACATGTTTTGATAATATTATTGATAATTAAAAGAGTTAATTGGTACCTTGTGTTCACTTACTTCTCCAATTATATTAATCTACAGATTAAGTTCCATAAGGTTAATAAAATATAAACAACAAGTTTCTAAGTAATAAAAAAGCTATTATTTATTCAAGCTGAGATCTTTCTTTTCAATTATTCTGATTAGGCAAAGTTCAAAATCAAGGTCTTCTTTTTATTCTGATCAGGTAAATGGTCTCTAGTTTATACTAAGCTTCAACTCTTTGGTTATAGTTGAGAATATATTTCCTCAGAGTTATTGAAGAATATCACAATCAATGAGGATCTTCATCACTTTTAAAATCCTCCCATCATTACAAGGCAAAAGGGTTATTGAAGAATCTGATCTTTTGAGTAATGAAAAATGTATATTAGTAAAATTTTTTTAATTAGGCATAGCTATTGGAAGATATCATACTGAAACAATATAACCCAATCCTTACTAGGTCACATAAAAACCTGGAATTCATTATAAGTCACCTCTCTATTATAGGTGAATAAAAAATCACTGCTCAAAAAAAGTTGGGACCAAATGTGTTCTGAAAGTAAAAGCTTTCACTAAGCGATAAGTCTTCTCAAATAGTACAAAAGAAGGATATTAAGATCAAGAATAAATAAGTTTTTCAGATGGTCAGGAAAAGAAAGAATATTTTAATCAGGCATTTTTTATTAAGAAGAGATCTTGAGAAGCAGATCTTTGAAAAAAGCTAAAAATATTTTTTTTCAATTTTTATTTTTCATTTTTTTGTTATCTGCTTAGATATTTTTAGATATTCCTCTCTTTTTTTTCAACCTATTCTTTTGTAATTTCCTATATTTTAGCAGCTTGGTATAATATATGGTAATAATAACCTGTTGGCAATAATGCAATGAACTAGAAGGGTTTTTATTCAAAGATACTATAGAGTGAAATATTGTTCTCAAAATTGAACTTAAAGTTTTATGTTTATAATGGGTTAATTATGTTAGAATAATAGTTTAGCTGTAATATGTATTATACTGTTCAAATGAAAATGTACATATATTTTCAATTAATTAATAAACTAATAATTTAGTCTGATTATAGATACTCAAAAAAAAAAACCAAATTAAGTTTATTATGTAATAAAAATTGAAATTTTAAATTTTTATTTCAGTAATAATAAATTTTTAAAATATTTATATATAAAATTTTATATATTATTTATATTTTTTTTTAAGAAATAAAATTTATATTTCTTTATTTTATCAAAAACAAAATAAAAAAAATATTATAAATCAATAATTTAAACAAAAAAAAATTATTATAAATAATTTTTTATAGTTATTAATTTAAATTTTTAATAAGAAACATTTAATTTTTGTTTTTATTTTTTTTTTTAAAAATTTAGAAAATATTATAAATCAATAGTTTGAATATAAAAAATTATTGTAAACAATTTTTTTTATAGTTATTAATTTAAAAATTTTAATAATTTTTAATAAAAGATATTTTATTATTATTATTTTTTTTTTAATATTCTTTTTTATCTCAATCAGATAAAGTTGAAATATTATTGATATTATTATTTTAGTTAAATTATTGATATTATTATTCTAGTTAAATTATAGATTCAATTTTTATATAATAAATAAAAGATATAAAATAAAATATTCTATTTTAAGAACTTAAGATAATAAGTTTTTTAGATAATATATAATTTTAATAGTTAATAGATAAGTTTTTCAATTAGTCTAAAACTAAAAGATATTTTAATTAAATAAATATTTTTTGAAAAGAAATTGTTTATTTAAATAAAAACTTTTTGAAATGACTTTAAAAAAAATTTTTTTTTTTTTAATATATTAATTTAAAGTAAAATTTTGTTTCTTAAATTTAACTTAAATATCCAATTAAAATAATTTAAATATTGTAGTTCTTCAATTAATAATATCATGTGAAAGTTTATATAATATTACAGATGTTTATTTAATTATCAATTATTAATTAAAAAGATTTTTTATAGTTAATAAATTACATACATATTAACATATATTAACTTTGCCTATTACGCGATTGTTACGTAATCAATTTGGGATTTGGTAAAATTACTTGCATTTTAACTCATTAGTTAACTAATCCATTTTTTATCAAGTTAATCAAATACGTATATATGACTAACATAAATCGCTTTTTTGTACCAACATTATATGGCTAAAAATCCTGGATTGACATTAATGGAAACGTTTTACGCGTGCTATATGAGTATCAATTCCGTCAGACGTGTAACCAAAAAATTTTTAAATTAGGTATATTCAAATGGTCCTATTCTTTGTACATGCATAGGTGCGTACACATTCTCTCCGGAATTTAGGTATGCAATTATTCGCCGAAGGCCGGAAATAACACAGCTGTTGACGTACATTCTATCACATTGAAAACCCAGTACATGTGCATGACACTCATAAAACCTCGAAATTATAAACTCTGTTCCAGCTTTCTCACGCTATAACGAAGCTTGAAAAAAAAAATGCCAATGATTGAACACTTTAAGAATTTTATTCGTCATGGCAAACAAGCGAACCAGAAGTTAATTACTCAGGACAGTTTATTTGAGACTAACGCTCTTGACAACCACCGCATTAATCCAGAAGTCAAACTTAAAGTTGATAATGCTACTGTAGCACAAATAGTGGCCGAGGAAAGGGAGCAGAAGAGTAAAATCCCAACATATCCAGGCTTGGAACGTTATCGTATGTTAGAGAAAATGGGAGAGTACGTTGAAATCTATATTTCTCTCGCGTTAATCAAAGTACAATTAGAATATCGAAATGAGAAAATAAGTTTTTATTCGTGCCAAAAAAAAAAAAAGAAAAAAAAAAAATGCCATGAAAAAGGGGTGACGAAAGATATGAAGATCGAATGAAAAATTATATCACCACAATAGATTTGCCCACCCGTCAAAGGGACATCTAATTCCCTTATATTAAACTTGATATTCTGATAATTTCACAGTGGAGCATTCAGCAACGTCTACAAAGCAATTGATACAGAGACCAAAGAAAAAGTTGCCGTTAAGGTGGTGCGGAAGCGTGAACTCAATTACTCACAGGTATGAACATCATAGCAAAAGATTGTTGAATACGGCGTAGGAAAGCGGTATCTTTGATTGCTGGGGGTCGGCATGGTTAATTGCAATCGATAATCGACTCGGATGGTTACAAGAGATACCGCAACTACGTCAGTCAAAGAATTCGAGCTTTTACGTACACGTGCATTCGATAATAACCGTCCGCCTTCACATTTCCAACACTGGTGTCATGTCAATGTAGGAGAAGCATTTGCATCGCGATATGAAAAAGAAAACACGTGTCGTTGAGGTAGTTTATTGTTTCGAAAATGACAAACGATTGGCTGTTTAGGTGACAACCCACCTAACTGCAAAGCCAGTGTGCATCAAATTCTTTGAGGGTCGGCGTTTGTTCATCATAATCTTTTGATACAACGCTCGCTGTTGAGAATGTCAATTGTGTTTGTCAGTCAAAACAATTTCGACATATTTTATGTTTGCTTCAACAAGCTCTCTTATTTATTTATTTATTATTATTATTATTATTTTACGTATAGCGTTCCAATATTCTTAAGGAGGTTCAGATAATGCGTCACTTGAAGCATCCTTCAATCGTCTCCCTAATATCATTTTCCGAGTCATCGGAATATTATTATTTAATCCTCGAGTTGATGGAAGGTGGTGAATTATTTAACCAAATCGTGAAGCTCACCTATTTCTCGGAGCCATTATCACGACATGTGATTGTTCAGGTGGCTGAGGGAATAAGATATTTACATGAAGAGAGCGGTATTGTTCATAGGTATACTTGATTTCCATTTTACGTGAAGAACGATATTCCTTCTTTGATCAGTGAATCAACAAAAATTTCGTGTCTACTCAGGGACATAAAACCAGAAAATCTTCTCTTTGAACCAATTCCAATCTTTCCTTCAAAAGTGCCTCGTCCTCCACCAGGTCCCAACGATGAGCCTAAAGAAGATGAGGGTGAATTCATTCCTGGTGTGGGTGGTGGTGGTATCGGTAGGATTAAGATCGCAGATTTTGGTTTGTCTAAGGTTGTCTGGGATGAAAAGACGATGACGCCTTGTGGGACGGTAGGCTACACAGCTCCTGAAATCGTCAAGGATGAACGTTATAGCAAGAGCGTCGACATGTGGGCTCTTGGTTGTGTCTTGTACACAATGCTGTGCGGCTTCCCGCCGTTTTATGATGAAAGCATTCAAGAACTAACCAAGAAGGTTGAGAAGGGGCAATATACTTTTTTGAGTCCGTGGTGGGATGATATCTCTTTTTCAGGTTAGAATTTGAGAGTCAAAAATAATGTTACTTCACAACTTGCATTCAATCCATATTTAAGATAATAATACCTCTTGTTCACTCAGTCAAGGATTTGATCAGGCACCTTCTCACCGTTGATCCAGACCAGAGATATACAATCAAGCAATTCTTTGAGCACCCATGGATTAATGATAAAGTAAGGAAAAAAAAACCTTAATAATTTTGAATAAATATTATGAAGAATGATTTATAATTTTTATTTTATATTTATCAGCCATTACATGCCAAACCTCCGGTTGATACTAAAGTCACTACTAGATCAATTGATGTAAATCAATTGACCAGGGGAATTGAAAGATCAGTCATGTTCGAAGATATATTGGGAAGTCCCGGAGAAAACGGTCGTCGCAAAGATATGCTTTCTCCAGGCATATCTCTTAAGGAGATATTCGATGTCGGTTACGCCGTTCATCGTATGGAAGAAGAGGGGGCAAGAAAAAGAAAAGTTAAAATGGGTGGAGGAAAGTTTGGTGCCTTGAATCCGTTCAAAAATAAGATTATTCACCAAATGAATGACGACGATGACCTATCTGACGATGATGGTGAATCATCATCGCAAGTTAGTTCGCGTGAAGTCGCTTCCGCTCCTAACGAGTCTCTGAAAATAAAGGCCGGTACCAAAAGTAATGAGAGATCTCGACGTACGACTATTGAGCTGAATTTAGATGGCGCGACCTTATTGGGGAGACGTCGTAAGGTACCAGTAGGTGCCTGACATCTTTGGTAAAATTTACTTTAGGATTATACAGTATATTTACATCTGCAATAATAATCTCACTGGATTAATTTGCGAATGATTTTTCTATTTACTGTTTCCGTCATATATGTATATATAGCTTTTAACTTTTTACAGCATCCAATAGTCGTTACAACATTTTTTTTTTTTTTTTTTTTTGTAGTTTATAACTAGGATCAAAATATTATATATGATGCAAAATTTGGTTCTTGCACATCGGAACTTTACTGTTTTGAATTATATGTATCTGAACATTCTATATTTGGCTTTCCGAAATTCGTACACGTACTTGCGAAAGGAACTTGCTTAATGTCATTCAAAGTGAAGATACTTTTGATGATTACAGAGTCCAATTGTATCTTTAAATATTTCAATTTTTTTGTTAAGTATGGTTTATTTATTTGTAAATTTTAAAATATATTTTTAGGTTGCAACTTGCATAAGTTTCTAGAATCTGTTAATTTCAAGTTATAAAAAATATAACATATTGTATATACTATAAATAATAAACTATTAAATTGTAAAATAAAAAACATTTTTTATATTATTTAAGTTTTTTTTCTTTCTTTCTTTTTATTTTTATTTTTTTTGCAATAACTCATATATTTATTATACTCAAATACTGTATATAAACATATAAACTTTAATTAAGTTAAAATGTATTCTTAATTAATTTATTTTAAAAAATAAACTTTTAAGTTTAACAATAAAAATAATTTGATTTTTTATAAAAACTATGAATAAAAATTCTTTTTAATGCTATATCCCTATTATAATTAACTATATATAATTATATTAAAAATAAAGATAAAAAAGAAAAAATATTATATAAAATTATATAAATATAATAAAAACAAAAATTTAATACTCTTCTTTATTGATTTATAAGAAAAAGATATTGTTAAATCTATTTAGCTCCTAAATAATACCTATGAAATGGTCAAAAAAAAAAAAAAAGAGTTATGGATTTTCTTTTATAATATTATAAAAATTTGTAATATAATTAATTTTAGTATATTGAAAAAATAATAAATGAATTTAAATTTTATCTATTGCAAGATAATTTTTATTAATTTATTCAAAAACAGAAAATATTAAATAATTTTTTTTCAATGAAATTGCTAATCTACTTGTAACAAATAATATATAAATTAAAAAGAATTAATTTTTTATAATTTATTATATGAATTTTAAAATAATATAAATTATAAATATCAAAAAAGGTCTTCTTTAAAATAAATAATTAATATTTATATAAATAATAACATTTGAATAATTGGAATTAATAATATATAAAAATATTTTCAAAAAAATCAAAAAATTTTATATAATAAATAATTTATAAATTAATAATAAAAAGTCAACTGTTTTTACTTTAAATTTAATTTAATTTAATTTTTTTTTTAACTCACAATTATACTGCAATGGCATATCTTTATTGAGATATTGAAAAATACCTAAATATTTTACAGACTTTTATAAAGTGACCAACTCATCATTATACATTATTAGTTAAAGGACTACACTACTTAAAAAATATGAGAAGTCCACTAAGCTAGTTCAACTAAACAAAATTAAATCTAAACTAGGTACTCTAAGTCAGATTTAGAGGACAATATTTCACTCTTTTAGTAGCTTGGCAATAGTGCCTCTAAGTTAATCAGGATCATTGCCAACAGTTTGTCACTATTGATTATCCCAAAAAATGATAAATTGCTAAAGTTGACACCAGATAAAGGGGAAGGGGGAGTAAAATTCAAAGTCCTTCAAAAGATTCTTGCTCTATTTTATAGTTTCTTCTTGAAAGGGATTTACCTGATTAAGATATTCTCTAAGATTCATAATGTTTAAAGAACTTAGCTATTCTTGAAAGTGACTTCAAGAAGAATGTTTAAGGAACTTATCCTTTTGCCAATGTATGGATTTACTTATCGCTAGTAAGGCTAGTGCCATATTATGAAAAAGTTTACTTAATTGAGATAAAAAAATCTTTTTAAGAACTTTGCCTGACCAGAATAGAAGCTTGAAGATCCCAGCTTTTATTCAAGAAAGCCTTTTCATCACCTGAAGAACTTAATGAGAGATAGAAGTTGGATTTTCTATTTTTATCTGTCATTTATCTTTTGATATTATAATTGTTTCCTGGAAGTTGAACATATATAATTGAAGAGAATACTTTTTCTGAAACTTTCTTTCTTACATCATTAATGATGTATCGAGACATGTAAGTATGACCAATAGAAACTTGTTTATATTTCAAAAACTGACATGTTTCATGTCAACCAATCACCTTTGGTGAGGATTTATGCTATCCAAAATTCAGGGTCAAACTGAGATAAGCAAAATTTTCCAAAAAACTATAAACATGGGAGTTCTAAAAGGACCAAGATAGTCAAAAAGAAAGAAAATAAACTTTTTTATTATAGAAAATCTCTATAAACCTCTTGCTTCAAAGATTAAAAAAACCTTCAAATACTTTACAGTCAGTTTTTCTTCTTTTGGGAACTTTCTTGCCATTGATATCAAAGGTATTACTTGACTTTTCTTAGTTACTAGAAGTCAAGTTTTTGTATAAAAAGATTTGTAAATAATAGAAGAAGGATAGAAGTGACTCTTGAAGTCATACTTCAAATTGTTTTAAGGAAAGTGTTAAGACTTTATTAGCAAAGGGATATAAAAACTTCTTGCGAACATTTTTTTTGTATGTGGTCAGAGGATCAGTGCTTTTACTTTAAATTTAAATAATTAACAATTAGATAAATATACATATATATGCTTTTTTTTTTTTTTAATCCACAGTCAGATCAGTATGGTGTATTTTTATTGTATATATGCTAGATATTTACAAATTGTTGTGACTTATACATACTAATTCACTCATTATTGAAAGACTATTTCTCTAAATGCAATCTAGGAAATGATATTTTGCTCTTTTACTAATTTGGATAATTTTTCTAATTAATAAAATTATTGCCTACAGGTTATTACTGTAGATCATTCTAAGTTCTGTTTACAGTTAAAAACCAAACCAATTTATTCTGTGACAAATCCAATTCTTAATAATTACCATATACTTCTTTCCTTCTATTTTTTTAATATTCTTTAGGTTTGAATTCTCTGGAGGTATTGACAATTCTTTTTGGTCCTATTCAGTCTGTTTATCAGGTCTGAGCTTGGGCCTCTTGTTTTTTTATCCTCTTCTATAATATTTTATTTTTTTTCCTATTCTATAACTTTGATACAGCAAGTATTCCAGATCTCCTTTTTAAAGTTTGCTCTTATCTTTTAACCGATTTTACTGATTATATCCTATATGTTTTCTGATAGGATCTTGAGATGCTCTTTGAAATACTTTTTCTAAAAGATGATCTTGTTTTCTTTCATATATCCACAAATAGTATTGAAAGGCCCCTATCAGATTTTTGAATCTTTTCTAACCATTTGTCTATCTAGTCACTTATTTTAGATTGAACTTTTTTCTTATCTTTAATTTTTTTAACAATGAGTTTATTGATCTTTTTGTTTGCCTTCTGCCATAAGTTCTTTTAAGTTTCTCTAGTGCTAGGTATTCAAAAAGATGTCCTAGTGTCTCTTCTTGAAGTTTGCATGCTAAGCAAGTGGTTGTGATATACACATATGATTTTTTCTTCTTAAGTATTTGTAGAACTGAAAGTTTATTGTAAATTAAGTTAGTTAGAAAGCTTTTGTCTTTATTGGTTTTGAAAGAGGTATTGAAGGTATTGGTTGGATTGAACTGGTTCCAAAAGATTGGCCAGTCTATAATTTTATCATTTTGGATTTAAATATCCTGAATCCATTTCTATGTTATCCAGTCTAGTCCAATCTTTTTCTTATTGAACATTTTAATGAAATCTCTGATAATATTCACTCCATGCTGCTATCATGAGGACTCTTTCTAGCTCTGATAGCTAATGTCAAGTTATTGGATTCTCCCACCTAGCCTGTTTGGCAAATAAGTTTATTTGATTGTTGAATCTGTTAATTCTATGGACTTTAACCTTTAGGATTTCCAGATTCAGGTCTTGCTTTTTTACTAGATCCTTAATCTTATTCCAAAGTAGCCAGTTAGTGATCTTTATCCATCTTCTTGTAGATGTTTCTATTTATGAGTAGATGGATTTTCATACTTTGACTGTGATATTGCAGTCTGTGTAAATTGTAACTGTTGTGTTTCAAGGGATTGCATATAGTGTAATGAGAATAGTTAATATTTCAGCCCTGGTAGCTGATAGTCATATGAATGCTCCTACTGAGAATTGTTTAACTATTTTGTCTTTCACTATCATGATCCAAGCTAAATCCATGTTAGATTCACTATTTGTTATCCCTTTTTTATAAGAACTATCTATGTAGAATATAAGCTGATCAGCCATATTCTTTTTGTTATATCTCAAGATGTTCTTAAGTTCATCTTTATATTTTTCTGTTTGTATGGCTTTTTCTATTAGTGTGATAACCCAATCTTTCACTTGAATCTCTATTTAGACTGGTCTGAAAATTAATAGAGTCACTGTTTACTGAAATGCATTTATCTGCCAGTCTATAGGGTTTCCTGGTAGAAGGATCTGTTTTCTTTTTCTTAAATTATTATGTCAATTAAGCTGTGGGAGAAGATGGATCTATGACAGAACTACTTCTAATAGCTGCTCTATGCTATCTGGTTAAAGATAAGTATTATTATTAGTAGAATCATATACTAGCTAATATGGTGTGAAATAGGTTTTGTTATTTATGAATACTGTCTTTTCCTATATATCTATTGAAGTATTAGCCTGGACTGCCCAGTAAATCTTTCTTTATTTGGGTTTTTTGGGAATGTCTCAGTTTGCATATTATAAACTGTCCATTCAAACCCATGTAAAGAGTTTCTTAAGAGATCTTAATATACTGTTGTTTTTTTCTTTACATTTTTGTATCAGGAGGGAACTAGTCCCTTGCATCTGCTATAGAGTATTTGA